CTTACACACCGCATTGTTGAATTGTACTAGTAATAAGCTGATAATAGGCTATATCACTTATACGACGCATTGTTGAATTGTACTTGTAATCAGCTGTTTTCACTCTCATTTGCACACGTTGGCATAATCATATGTTTTCTATAGCTTAGAACCCCTTCAATATAGGCCTATGTATTATGCACCATTGATTATGTGCGTTATATTAAGGTTGAAATCACTTCTGTGACCGGTGTACTATATGTAAAACACTCGTTTTACTGCTAACATGTCGATTTATAACTATCCTTTAGCATGCGAAAGGCTTCGTAGAAGGAAGGAAATAAATGTCCCTGTTTCAATTCAACAATATTTATTTATGTGCACTGGAGGACGGATGTAGTTAATTGTAGTCTTTGCTCAGACAAACTGTAAATAAAAGCTCTCAAATATGTTTTTTTTTTGTTAGCCAGTTCACAACCCTCAATTTCGGTAACTTTTAACTCTACCTACTAATATGTAAACAAATACACAAGCTCTACCCCCTTCAAAACAATCCTTCAATGGCTATTGGTTTATCCATCAACCAAACAATTCATTATAGTCTAGAGATACTATTGTTGTTTAAAAACCAGTATCATTTTGGTTCTAACATTTATTTTGTTTAAACGTTTATAAAAACAAATTCAAACCATTCAAAGAGTAACAGTTTTCAATTTCCACCTCAATTACGTGCAAAGAGGTGTACCCAGAAATAGCGCGAAGTATATTATTTATACTTGAGATGCATAAAGTGGAAATAATGCAATTGAAATACGACACCTGAACCTTTTTAGGCTTAAAGGAATAATATGGAAGAATACACCCCTTGACGCAAAACACACATAAATCTTAATTAGTGGGGCTGTAAAGGGGTTATTACACCCTCGAGGAGTAAAATACCCAGTTTATAGGCGGTTGGGTTACGTTTTTAAACCCACTCCGCCCAAAGAACTGTTACTGTTTCCTTTAAATCCGATATAGGATCTCCCTCGGGGAGTAAAATTGTTATTGCGAGTTGTTATTTGAGTCATAAACATTTGTGTTTATGGTTGAATATATTTCTACTCTTTGAAAAACTGATAGCTTTTGAGATTTGTTCGTAGGATGTTTTTATTGCTATTTTATAAGGAGATATGTATAGTGTTTAGTCGTAATTTGTTTACTTAAAATCTGAAAAGTTTAGTAACACGAGAAATAACACAATTGTGAATTTTAAACAGATAAAAAATATGAGTACTGTACCCTGACATCGTAATTAATTTGCAACAGCCCAAAAAACAATTTGAGGAGATGACTAATAAATATAACAAACAATTTTGCATTTTGAATTAGTTAGGTAGCTAAAGAATACTATACGGTAAAAATATTTCCATTTTCACTACATTTACAGGTTTCAAAACCGACCAGGACTTCATGTCCTGTAACTTCACGTACTTTGAAACACTTATTAGGAAATATAATGCAGTGTGATACCTTCAAACAACGATTTGCTGTTCTGCCACAAGGAAAGATACAATTAATAAAGGGTGCATTGTCTGACACACTGATGTAGACTATACATACACACAGGGACAGGCGACACGGAGACGAGACAAGAGAGAGACAGTGATACTAGGGCGAGAGAGATAGTCTCATAGGCTACATGTGCAAGTGCATACTGATTACACAGTTGTGTAAGTAGTCTAGTCTACTGGCACAGAGCTTGGGGTGTAAAATGCGTCAATGTACAGAGTGTCTATAAAATATCAGTACAATTTCATTCGTAAATCCTTACGGTTATTTTTCTACGTACATTGCTATACCTGTGTTGGTTGGTTGTATGGGCCACATGCTAAAGTTTAGTTTTATATTCAATGGTTTAACCCATAATCATTGCTGATCATCTGACGATTAAAGGCTACGTAGAAAATATAAACAAACTGTAACTTTAAGTTTCTATGTTATTCTATTGGAGAATAAATGAACTGTTGTACTTTGCTTATTAGTTTAGATATGGCTATATTGTGATCAAATTCGCCAAATGTATTTATTTCAGACTATATGCTACTACATATTAACACTTTACAAAGAGCCTTTTCTTCCTTCCCCGTAGGTACTCCTTAAAAAGCCAACGACTTTCAAACGGAGAATTAAGTGTGACGTATTTAAGGATATATTGCAGTAAAAATCTAATGAGAAAAATGGAAATTGCTTCTTATGCAGGTATGCTGCGCCGGCGGTAGGGGAAATTACCTCAAATTTGAAGGAAGAAATTTGCTACAGCTGGTACATAAGATGAATTTTAAGGGAGTTTGTGTTTATCTATGGATGAATCTAGTTCAGTATCCAAAAGTCAATGTATCCTTCTACAAGCTAGAGTCGTTGGACAGTGAGGACCAACTGTCATACAAGACAAAGGCTTGTTAGTTTAGTTGGCGGAGGGCGTATATTGGAACAGGTGCGATAGTGCTATAAATAGCGATAATATTGTGTGATGGCGGCGAGAATTCCTCAGTGATAAGGTGTCAATAGAGACTGATAAGAGCGGACCTGGATAAACACGGCGTTCCCACGCGCCGACGCAATACATACAACACGGCGCATGCGTCGTCGCGAACTGTACTATAGTGGAATTGGCTTGACTTTGGACATTGACGACGCCGACGCAATACATACAACACGGCGCATGCGTCGTCGCGAACTCTACTATAGTGGAATTGGCTTGACTTAGTGCCTCAATTACCTATTTATGGATTGGAAAATAGATCAAATAATAGTAGTTCATATGTCAACAAATTGTAAATATTTTAATAGCTACTGAGTGTAATAAAATTGAAGTTAAACCTGTTATTGAAAAAGAAAATGTTCTACTGTATATTTAATAACTTACAAATTTGCATTATTTTAGGTGACGTAGAGTTTTAGCAAAAAAGTGTTACAGTGACGTGGTAAGATTTGTTCTACTGCACCGGTATGTTTGATGTTTTTTTGTTTTCGAGTGTTAAACTGTGTACAGCGGTATCGGCCACCTAAGTCTATAACCGGGCTTTCCGTCATCATACAAACAAAATTTAATCGAAAGCTGTATGTCTACACCAAGAGATATGTAGGGTAGTACAGAAACGTTGAACTACCCAGTCATGAGAATCTACCTAAGCCAGCTCTGTTTACCTACTATGACAAACGTATCTTCTCTAGGCAAAGCTCAGTCCCCAGTCGCATGCGGCACCTGGCACCCGTCACGGTCAATTACCGCCCCTCGTATTGCCTAGATACAGTACTTGTTATCTGCCGTTCATTCCCCCTATTTCCATTTTAATTCGGTTCCAAACAGTACAAGCTCCGAGTCTAACCGAGAAGTTTTTATTGCTCGAGTAAATGTTTCTGAATAATTTAAAAGTTTCCCCAACGAGGGAATGCCAAGTTCGATAGCAAATGTTGAACTGTGGATTTTTTAGTAAACATGGATTAAGATTGGTAGGCCTAGTTCTTGAAATAAAATGAGATGTAAAATTATTCATTTATTTAGGCAAAGTTGGGTCACATGGCCCTTTCTTACACTCAACCTGAATTCTTTAGCAGGAAATAGTTTTTTTACATAGTGTTCGTCCAAATGAAAACTTAACTAATGGGCACAACCGCTCATTACCATTTCCATAAAATTAATTGTGTTGCGCCAAAATACGTTTAGTGCTAATTTGTCTTTCATTGACGACATTGGAAATAAACTACCTTCATTGATAGGCCTTGCAAAAAAAAAAGAGTTTTGTATACATTTCAAACTGATTCATTTAAGAAATTATGTTTCAATTGATCCTCTTTTAATTCGGTGAAGTAGTTCTAAATTATTTTATTTTGGACGTAAACTTTGAAGTGTATTTGAAGTTGGAGGGAGAAAGATAGGTGTATAGCCGTGTTTTATATAAAAAGTTACTGTGTTAATTTAATGGCTTTTGAGTAGGTACAAAATCGGGAATCTTAATTTATCATGGGGATTGAGGGAGGATGTAAGACTTGGTGCGGTCCTAGGGGCGGGTTGTCCAGGGGTACAGGGGTCGGCAGGCTAGGACCCCTAGGTTAATAGATGCAGGGGGGTCGTGGCCCCCCTCGATTGTGCTGGTTCTAATGCTTGTAGTCTATGTTAGTACAGTATTTTGTTGTATGTTGACAGAGTGAGCGAGGATGCGGGGCTCGGTGCGGCCCCAGGGGCGGGTTGCCCAGGGTCGCTGACAGGCTGGGACCCCTGGGGTCATGGATGGGGGGGTCACGGCCCCCCTCGATTGTGCTGGTTCTAATGCTTGTAGTCTATGTTAGTACAGTATTTTGTTGTATGTTGACAGAGTGAGGGAGGATGCGGGGCTCGGTGCGGCCCCAGGGGCGGGTTGCCCAGGGTCGCTGACAGGCTGGGACCCCTGGGGTCATGGATGGGGGGGTCACGGCCCCCCTCGATTGTGCTGGTTCTAATGCTTGTAGTCTATGTTAGTACAGTATTTTGTTGTATGTTGACAGAGTGAGGGAGGATGCGGGGCTCGGTGCGGCCCCAGGGGCGGGTTGCCCAGGGTCGCTGACAGGCTGGGACCCCTGGGGTCATGGATGGGGGGGTCGTGGCCCCCCTCGATTGTGCTGGTTCTAATGTTTGTATGTTAGTACAGTATTTTGTTGTATGTTGACAGAGTGAGGGAGGATGCGGGGCTCGGAGCGGCCCCATGGGCGGGTTGCCCAGGGTTGCTGACAGGCTGGGACCCCTGGGGTCATGGATGGGGGGGTCGTGGCCCCCCTCGATTGTGCTGGTTCTAATGTTTGTATGTTAGTACAGTATTTTGTTGTATGTTGACAGAGTGAGGGAGGATGCGGGGCTCGGAGCGGCCCCAGGGGCGGGTTGCCCAGGGTCGCTGACAGGCTGGGACCCCTGGGGTCATGGATGGGGGGTCACGGCCCCCTCGATTGTGCTGGTTCTAATGCTTGTATGTTAGTACAGTATTTTGTTGTATGTTGACAGAGTGAGGGAGGATGCGGGGCTCGGTGCGGCCCCAGGGGCGGGTTGCCCAGGGTCGCTGACAGGCTGGGACCCCTGGGGTCATGGATGGGGGGGTCACGGCCCCCCTCGATTGTGCTGGTCCTGCTGCTTGCGTTACCGCCCATCTTACATACGGCAGGTAAACTCCAGTTATATTATATTATATAGCTTTACAGGGTGTGGACTTTAACATAATTTTTTTCATTACTTAAAATTCTGTAAAAATAACCGTAGCAGAACAATTGTCTGTAGGCTCAGTGTTTTTTATTTTATTTTTCACGTTTTTGTAAATTTTAGATGATTGCTATGTCATTAATACTGTATATCCAAAATATAAATATGGAAATAATTATTGAAAACTGTGTATACTGTGTAAATACCTATCCTATTATATGTCCTATGTCTATTATAGTGTGGTTGTACTATAATTATGAATTTCTTTATACGCCAATATTTATATAGATCTTAATGTTTGCAGCTTTCTGTTGAATATTGTAGATTCCTCAGCATGTCCGGCGCAAGTCAAATCTAGTCTAAGAAAAATTAAATCCAATATGGACAATTAAATGCTAAATGCCTAAAATATAAATGCTATATCTGTAATTTTAAATTTCCACCGAGTGATTTATAAACAAATTATTTTAGAGTTCAATCCAAAGTTATTTAATTCAAAAGGAAGCTTGAAAGATTGTATGGAAAGCCTAAGAAAATGAAAGTTGCAACATAAAGTGGTTAGTCCGTGTTCGACATTTCCTTCCGACGAGAACGCTTGTCTGAATGTTTACCATAGTCTGGCCAATGCTTGCTTGATCGACCAAGTATCGATAGCTCTCTATCACAGTCACTCGAAAATCGTTGTTCGATTATGGTTGTCATGGACGAAATATGTTGTTCATAGTCCACCTTGTTACGAGAACGTTTTGACATACTGTCATCTATATCAAATACTTATTTTCCTACCTTTGGTACTTTCTTGGTATTAAATTTCAACAAAAATGAGAAAATTACCTCATTGCATTACCTTCACAACCTACTTGTGAAAATTAAATCGATGGAATTTGTTCCTATGAAACAAAGTCCGTTATCGATAGTTTTTTAATGAACAAAATGCAAATTTGTAATTTTTAAGTAGTTTTGTAGAAACTCTTGACATTTTTGGGAGTAGGTGTATGAGCAGTGTTACTAAAGTATAAGTATTCAATACTAATAAAATTGTATTTATACTTCCCTATCTTAGTTTACAACGAGAACTTGGATGGATACACAGTGCCCGTCACCAGTTTTTATTGTAATCATCAGAACACACTGGTTGTTAAAAATGTAATTGCTGACAGTTACCAAGTAACCATGACTCTGGATAACTTTCTTTTGGATAATAATTGCAATGACTCTTAAAATAAGGACCAAACACTCATTTCAAACCGGGGTTTTCCCCAAAATGCGAATTTTTGTAATTGTATGGGATTTTTATGGGAAAATAACATTAAATACAAAAACTTTTGAACCGTATTTTTTACGGAAATGGGATTTGTACCATTTCATTCAAAATCTAAAGGACTATAACATACTAAATTTTTGTCAAAATCGTTCAGGCCCCTTTGAGAAAATCAGATTTTTTCGTTATTTTATGGGTTTTTTGGTCAGGTTATGATCAGACCCAAATTTTCTTGCTCTTCGATAAATAATTGTGTACGCCCCCAACATTTTTTTGAAAATCATTATCATAATTAAATAAAGCCGACAATGCCCTAGAAACGATTCAAAGTTGTAAAAACATAAAAAATGGACTAAATGGAGGTGACAATTTTTAGTTTGGCGAACTCTATGGAAATTGAATTCACGTCATAATAGTTTACAGGCTATAGACCATTGTCGACCACCGAAGGTCGCATCGTATTAGTAGCGAGGTTGTATGGGAAAGAACAGGTGATGTCTAGGGACCAGACGTATAATCGATGTTTGACTCATACCCTCTTATTCGTATAGCCTCCCTTCGGCGGTGATAGTAATGCATCACAAGTTACAATTTAATTACAAGTAATTACCACAATTTTTTGGAATTTTCTCCGTAACCATTAGGCACATAATAACGTTTCAATATACTAAATTATTTGTTTTTTTTTAAGCTCTACAAAATGGTTTGGAAAGAAATTGCTAAACTTTATGTTTTTTGGGTCAAAAATGGAAAAAACCTATTTTTACCCCATAAAACCCCCGTAAACCCCCGTTCCCATGGTCCGATCATGCTGGATCGCGAACTCGTTCGAATAAACGTAGGTTTACACGTTTGTACTAAATTTCATCAAAATCGGATCATTTTTGCTCGAGTTATCGTGCTAACGGACACACACACATATATATATATATATATGAATTTGAACGGATGGTGTTTTTGGCCTCTAGGGACCTCAAAACGAAAAAAAAATCGGTCCCGCGTCCAGGTCTTACCATGAGTACTACAGTAATAGCTTATTCCCTATATGGGAAATTCGCTAAAACCAGGGATAACTTTTAACTATTGGTTATTTACTGATGTAATTCACCCTTAGGTTTTCTATTTTTGATGTGTGTCACATACATAGCTGTAAGGGGAAGCTGAAACGCGAAAAGCTTAAGAGTCCGCTTACATTTGTTGATGTGTAGAAACTAGGTTTTACCTTTGAAAAGTATGTTTTAAGATACCATATTGTTTGTTTTGTAGCAAATATGTCTCAAGACACTAGGTTTTACTTTGGAAAGTGCAAGTTTTACTTTGGAAAGTGCATTTTTAAGACACCAAATAGACTGGGACGGGTGGCGACCGACGTCCTGTAATCCAGCTAGGTCACGAATTGTGGATATTTATAGGCATGTACTGTGGATACGATACTCCCTGGTGTGGATTAACGTCCGCACTAGTGAGTACTACGACTATCCGCAGTACTATCCTGATAATTAGACCAATTCGTCAATACCATGGAAAATTGTGGTTCGGATTGCACTATAAACTGTAGGTCCCTTAGTTGCCATTAGGTGTATGGTCTATTAATTATCAGCTATGTCTATGGAATATGTCGGCCTTAGTCACTAACAAGACTACAAGATCGCGCTACTCATCCTACACTCATCTCCATTCATACTAGGCTTAAAATACCTACTTTGTATGGTCGCCATTTCATTGAAAAGTATTACAAGTTTTTTTGTAGTACTACATAAATAATTTGCCTTCTTAAGCAGGCAAAACTTAAAAAAAAACCTACAGCCAATTTTAAATATAATCATTATTTATGTTTTTCCTTCTGTTAAAGGTAAAACTACGTCATACCAGATAGCCCAGTAAACATTTCATTTTACTGATTCATATCACAAAAAAGTCATAAATCGTAACAGTCGCATAAGTTACCGAAATCCCTGAGATTTCGTGGAAACGTCAGGCAAAAGGGTAATAAATGTAGTAGATAACCCCGTTGTGTCCACGCTACCCTTATCTGACATGTTACATTAATATAGGTACAACCATTACACACAATGATTACAAGGTAAAAGTTGGATACAGCTTTCTTCAGAAGGTGACAACCTTCAATGCATGGGCCCTAGTGGGGTTTGGTATGGGTATAATCTATGAAGGGTATGTTAGAGGGGAAAGCAACACAATATATGTCTCCATTTAACAACTTTCTTTTTGCTCTTGGTTTCCATAACATAATCGCTCCTGTACTTAGCTAAACAACGTTTTTACATTAAACAATTTTACACGTTTGAGATGTAATTTTTGTAGTACAGTTTTTAATATTCACTATTTCTGCGTTGAGGAGAAAAAGTTACTAATTTGGTTCATATTTTAACATTCGTAAACTCGTTCGACTCATTGAATAATTTTATTTCACTCTCTGAATTATTATTGTAAGCAAAGCCACAATAAACCCATTTCTTCAGCACTTTCTGATGAAGACAACTTATTAATGACCATAAGACGAATTATATAGGTACCAAAAAATATATATATAACCTAGGACGCATGCTAGAAACACAACAGCCACATTAACGGGTGTGGAAGGGTTTTCATCGACCCAAGTACTGGTTCAACCGAGTTTCTCCCGATTTTTGTATTTATTTATCCACCGCCACGGCGCCGTCGAGCCGTCCTCACAGTTGTTTGGAAGATTATGCAATTAGTTGGATTTTTAAATATTGAAACGAAATATATTGTAGTTTTCGTTTATATGAAATTTTAATTAGGTTTTTGCAAACTATAGGAGAGTTTTAGTTTATAGGATTAGGTAAAATTTTAAAAACATCACTATTTATATTGTAGTGTTAATAGAATCTAATGTCGTATTCAAAGGAAACATTAATAGCAATATATTAGTTAATCAATCACAGTAAATAATGGCTTTGGTATCAAGTAAATTAACAATCCCACCATAATGTAATCCAAATTGAGTACCAGTAGTCCCATACAGTTAGACAGCACACAGTAATAAAACACTGTAGATAACATTGATAGTCCGAAAAATTGGTGTTTACGCATTTCACTTTTAGCGAATATCCCTATAGGGAAGTAGCTATACCGTAGGTGGCACGGTAAGACTTGGAGCCGGGACCGATATACTTTTTTATTTTGAAGTCCCTAGAGGCCAAAAACACTATTCGAACAAATTTGTATTTATGTATATAAAAATATGTGTGTGAACGCGATAACTTGAGTAATTTCTCTCCGATTTTGATGACATTTGGTTTGAAGGTGTATAAAGGTGATAAACTTAATGAGTTCGCGAACCAGCATGATCGGACCATGGGAAAAGGGTTTATTTACGGGGTAAAAAATGGGTTTTCTCATTTTTGACCCTCAAAACACAAAATTTCTTAATTTATCTCTAGACCATTTTAAAGAGCTAGAAAAATAAATGATTTAGTATACTAAAGTGTTTTTGGACAGTTATTGGTCATGGAGCAAAATTTTAAATATTAAATCTTCAAATTCCCATGTTATTCTTAAGGAGAATTTTGTAAAATGTTGTAATTTGCTTGTTTATGGAAATATTTTGATCCAACTTGGCAAATTGATTTATTTTATAGTAAGCTACTAATATTTTACTAAAAACTACACTTAATTATCCTCGCTGTAGCAGCAAACCTACGTACTCGTTAAACATAATG